TTAGTTCTGCTAAATCGACTTCTCCTTCTTCGACAGCTAAAGTATCGTCGAAGGATTCTAGATCTTCGTCATCCATCTCAACGTACGCTATTCTCTCTCTCTTGTGAGTTTTCGTTGCCTTAGCTTTTTCAGCTTTGAGGCGTTCGACCTGTCGAACTCTATCGGCCAGTTGGGCCATGTCTCTTAGGTACTGGGTATCTAGCTTCTTCCTAATGGAATAATCTAAACCGCCTGCGGCCATTTCGACCAGCTCATGTTCTGGCACTTGTGTAAAACATCTCGCCTTAAGCAATCTAAACCTATTCAGATATTCGTCTATAGGTTCAGTGAAACGTCTCTTCACACTCGCCAGTTCTTTCAGGCTTATCTTGGTTTGCCCCATATAGAATTGTTCATGGAACAATCTTTCCAACTGGGTCCAGTGGTGGATCGAATTGGGGGGTAGAGTTGTGAACCAAGTAAAAGCGTTCTTGGTTAAGGAACTTGGGAAGTATTTGATCCTTAGGTTTTCATTATTTGAAATGTCTCCTGCTTCGATCAAATACCTCGCCACGTGTTCGACAGTAGATTCTGTCGTGTCCCCAGAGAACTTAGTAAATTTGGGGACTTTGCTCCTAGGAGGTAAATCCGTTTGTAATACGTATTCTGACAATGGAGATGTAAAGTTGGGCCTTCGAAAGCCCATGTTCATCCCATTCTGATTCATGATCCTTTCGATCATGGTTGCCAGATTATTTTCCAAACCCATGTTTTGGTGTTGGATATGCTGAACCACTTCGTCAGCATTTTGGTTTCTGTTAACTAACCTTACCTCTGGGGCTATTACCCTAGGTTCTTCGACAGGTTGTTCTACAGGCTGTTGAGCCTGATTAATGGTGGTTTCTTCCTCTACAAATATCCCCTGATTTCCTCTTGTTTGCGCCCTTTGGGGCTGTCGAATAGGTGGGGGTACTCCAAAGAAGTCAGCCAAACGCGTCATTTGCGCTGTAACTTGCTGATTCGATTGAGTAGTATTTTGTATTAGAGGATTTAGCACTGTACTCAAAGTTTGTGCCAACATTTGCACCATATCATGGTTGCTTTCGTCCATCTGTTGCCTCAAGACTGCTGTCGAGGCGTTTGTAAGGCCATGGGCTACTTGGGACGTTCCTCCTAAGAGTTGGGTCCTATTTCTATTCGCCATGCCTACTCCAGAGCCTTGGAGTGGCGAAGAGGCACTCACGAAAGGGTCTGAATAAGTGGACGCAGCATTCGTCAGGCTTGCCACTTCAGAAGTTGGCATACCATAGAATGGAATAAATCCTGGGGGAACCACAGGCCTTGTGCCTATATTTCCCCTTGGAGGGGGAGTTCCCAAAGGTATTCTGGGGCCTGAAAACGAAGTTATTGGCCCCGTGGTTGTGACTGACACTGCTGGTGTCGAACCAACATTCGTCGCTTCACTTACGGTCATATTAACCGTTGCTCCCACACTCGTTTGTGGGATTTCATTATTGTTTGGCGGATTCGCCATCTCTTCCCTTCTTCTGGCAGTATTGTTATCGTTAGTGTATATTCTACCACTCCTCAATAACATGCAACTCGAAAAGATGAGATTATTTTCAACAATCAACACACAGTCCCACCGGGTGTGCCAATTTGTTTACCTTGGGTTTTGGTAAACAACCGCTGATCCTCCAAATGGTTACTTATTTGGTTACTCGCAGGATCGATCAGATTGATCCTATGGACATAGGTTGATTTTGAAGTTTGATTAAGGTGGATAAGGCTTTAAGTAAAATGTTTCAAGTAAATTGCATAAAGGAAAAGCTTGGTAAAATAAACAAGGCTTTAAAGTAAAGGTTCGACAGGAATCTTAAAGGAGAAAGCAAGTAAAATACTGGAAAAGTAAATGACTTTAATTGATAAAATTGGTGTTTCACACATACATTTCTCAACAATTCTTTCGCTCACACTGGGTACTTGAATCTAAATGAGTGACTATGTATCTATTTGTGAACACACGCGAGAAACTACATGTCTACTCCTATTTATACTAAAACATTCCAAGTAACCGTCGGGCAGTTACACTGCTTCGAGATCAAGCCACTTGGCACGTTCCCCATGCTCGACGCTCCAGATCCTTGTACATTTGCACGCAGTAACTGCTGGAAACCGTTTTCCCTCCAAAGCTTTGAATTTCAAACTGCTCCACTCTGGACCATCGAACACTTTCATCAAGAAGCGTCTTCGACGAAAACTCCTTCGACGTCGAAGGCAATCAGCCTTCTTCCTTGGAAGAAATCTTCTAAGTATTTTCCCATCTTTCGACGGGCACTTCGACAGGCTTAGCCAGTCGAAAGCATCTTTCAGCTTTTAATGGCTGCCATCAATCAAAACAAAGGTGTCGAATTTAGGAGCCAACACTTGGGCATGTCCTTCATTTTGAACTTAGAGCCTCCTTCCAATGCAAGTTTAGGTACATCCTTCATTTTGATTTGAAACCTCTTTCGAATCTGGGCATTTTGGCCTCCAGCATATACTTTTCGTTTGGGCACGTGAATCCTTCAGCACAAGATTTTGGTCAAACCTTTCGTTTGGACATTTTGGCCTCTTGCATGTACCTTTCGTTTGGCTACATGTGACCCCTAAAAAACAAACCTTCGATTGGATAGAAGCAACCTACATACAAAGCTTCGATTAGAGCTTTGTTTCCCTTCGAATCAGCTTCCTTCGAATCCAGTCTGAATCATTTGAAGAAAGCTTGTTCGAAGTAAGTCTGAACAAATATCAAGACCAAATCTCACTTGTCAGGCTTACTTTGCTTCCAAATATTTATAATCAGAGGTTTGTACAAAGGTTGTGAACTTTGTCTTTTGGATAATACTATTCTTAGCAAAAGGCTACATACTCTTTTCATAGAGAATACTTTTATCGCAAAAGCAGCTTTCAGCCTGAATTTGGTATGAACGAAAGCCAGGGCCAGAAAGACAAGTCACGTCTTCTGCACCCCAACTGCCAAAGGCCCCCACTTGTACCCTTCACGTTACCTATATTTTATTATTTCTTTGCAAGCTGGCTACTATAACATGTCCATCATTTTCTCTATAAATAGAGGAATTTTTGCAAAGCCAAGAGAGGATCTTTGGACCAGAGGAACGTCTCCCAAATTTTCTCAAACACAACCAAAACTCTCAAGTTCATTAACACTTGAGAAATCAAAAACCCATAATCACACCCATCTCCTTTGATTCTGAAGAACTCCTAACTCTTCGGTATCCTTCGAATCCAGCTTAGAAAGAAACATAACACTTGTTTCTTTTCTTTCTTCGAATCAGCATTCCAAGCCGAGCTTCAGGCCCATCTCCTTTGAATCCAGTGGAAAGAAGCCTTACACCTGCTTTCGTACCTCCTTCAAACCCAGTCATCCTTAAGCTTGTCCCCTTCGAATCTAAAAGGTCCATGTACCTTGTTCCCTTCGAATACACTAGAAATTGAACACTTGTGTCTTTACTCCTTCGAATCCAGAAGCATCAAGGCAGCAACTCAAGTTTCAACACTTACATTCCAACGTCAATCAAGGTAAGTCCCCTTAACCTTAAGCTTTTCGTTTCAAACATAACATGTAAGTAATATTTTCTCCCTTTTTATTTCAATACTTTCGATTGGATGCTTTTCCTTATCCAAGTGTATGTTAAAGCTAATATGTACAATCCCCTAAAAATGTTGGAATATAAAATAAGCATGCTTCGATATACTTGCTTCGATGCATACACATGCTTCGATACTGACATGTTCAGCACACACACACACACACTTGTTTCGAACGCACTGACCTGTAGGCCCAAACAAAAGGCACACTTGCACTAAGTCCAAGCCCAAACGAAGACCATGACCAGCTGCTTCCAGCCTCAATCGAAGAAGGCAACAAGGCAGAACATGTAGGCACGCTCAGCTGCTGATAAGCCCAATCGAAGGTTACGCCCTGCTGCTTCCATGACCAATCGAAGGTCAGGACCTTGCTGATGCTAGCCCCCAATCGAAGGAGGCCAACAGAATGTAAATCGAAGGCTGCTCCCCCCCCCCCCCCCCCCCCAATCGAAAGAACTATTTTTTCTTCTTTTTCTTTTATCTTATTTTTGCCTTCATATTTTTTATGTCTTTCGATATGGTTGTAATAGTGTAGGATTTTATCTATATGCATTTTATTGCTTTTGTATGTTTGCTAGTAAAATAGGGAATGTATGGCAAGATAAAAACAATGAGTAAACCACCAAAAATCAAAGATAAAATGCATGCAATCAAACACACTTTGCACACATGCACCCTTAGGATAATCTCACTTGTTGCCTCGGAAAATAGTCACGTCCCTCGAACATAGACGTTTTAGCAAAGACCCTCGATAAAAGATCGTAGTCCCTCGATGACCCACGATGTTGGTTTCGGTAAATGATTTAGTCCCTAAAATGACATTGTTAAAACGTCCCATAGGTTGCCTTCGATGACTATAAAAACTTCCCGTGCCCGTCCCTTCACATCCAACGATGGGGCTTCTTACCAAAACAATGGTAAGATAGCAACATCTAAAGGAGGAGTAAAAGAACATCTAAGACCTTTTGAGTAGGTAGATTTGCTCCTAGTTTCTCGCTTGCTCACAACAAAAACATTTTATACACCAACACTCTCATTTTGAAACATTTTCAAAAAACAACACTTTGTACGCGTTCTTATAGAAACGAGAGCGATTACAAAGAAAACCCTTTTCAAAATCACTTTCAAAAACACACTCCACAAACACCTCTTTGAACTATTTTCGAAACAACACTTTGTACGCGTTCTTATAGAAACGAGAACCATTATAAAGACATTTTCAAAATACTTTCAAAACCCACACCACAAGCACATTCAAACAAAAACAAGTGATCTAGTAAGCAACTAAGAGCCCGTAGATAACTACGGATGAAAAAGGTGTTAATACCTCCCCTTTCTATAATCTACCCCCGAACTCAGAAATAATCTTGAAAAGTCTTTCCTGTTCTTTTCAACCTTTCCTAATTGGATAAAAGAAAAGTCAATGACGACTCTTGCTATCCACAACAATTGCGATCAAACGCAAAACACCCAAGTCAGTTTTTTCACCGCATTACATATAACCTTGTGTGAATTAATTCGTGCCTGCAAAACCACTATTAGATACATAAGCCATGCTTATCTAGAACCTACAATTTTTAGACTAAAAGGCATTTCACTAAAAACAAAAAAAAACTGTATCGGATTATCAGTGATCGAAGGTTCGAGTTCCTTTTAAAGTCCATCAACAGTTATCTTGAATGCATTAGCCATCATGTTCAAATTAACAAACACAAATAGGAGTGTATATTGGATTAGAACATTTTGACATATAAGATCATTAAGTGTCTCAATTCATCCCCATCATATTTGTAAAAACCAGAACCAAATTAAATTTCCTTCATTGGATGAACATCATCTTCCCCACATATATGCGTTATGCCTCTACTACCACCACCTATTCACAAAAGAAATATTTTTGTTAAACACATAACCATAAATTTATCTTAGAATTTCACCTTGACTTGTACCTATTCTTACAGATTACTTTAAGGCATAAAAATGTAAACAACATTGACAAGTGACCCTGCAAGGATACCACAATTCTCTAAATCTTAGTCATTTTTAAACTTAGCAAGCTTCATAAAACTCCCCATCATTGCAGTTAACTGTAAAGAGAAACAATTATCAGTCAACAAAGGAATAGTGTCATACCAACCAACTGTTAAACTTTGGGAATGGTAAGTATGTAAGAAAATAAAATTAGTGTCGGTAAGGGACGTCACCATATGATTATAATCTTTTGACCTCTTTAGTTCTTGATCAGGTTCATATAGGGCAAGAAAACTGATGGTAGAAAGTAAATGTTATGTTAACATTGAAGCTGTAAATAAACAATTTAAGCTCCCATAAGATCTGCTCTAAGTAGTGTATCAGATCAAGAAATAGCCATAATGAAGGGTATAAAAATACCAAGGAAACCCACCAGCTAAAATCAACATCAAATTCATTGCATACTTTTTGACATCAGAAAACATATGTAGATAGATCCAAACACAACCATAATCCATTAAAATCAACTTAATTTCAAGACTTCAAGTTTAGCTTGTAACAGTTGCGGCTAGCTATGTAACTACCCCATTAGAAGAAACAAACAGAAGTTGAATGCAACTCACCCTTCACGTAAACGTGTTAGAAACTTGTGAAATAGTGTCTATAGAAGCAGGGCATACAAGCAGGCCAATAATGACCTATCAAAATGGGTTAGATGAAGCATCCTCTGAAACCTGCAATCACAAACACATACACAAAAATTGATCGAAACGAATTTCAAGAACCTATATGTAATCCAAAAAAGAGAGAATATGGATAAGAGGGAGAAAGAGTAAAGAAGAGATTGATTAATACCTTGGATTGTTTGTGTTGGAAGGAGAAGGAGAAGAAAGCGAGTGTTTGGAAGATGAAGAGCCACATCAGGTTTCGACCATTATTGGATTGAAAGAGGGGGTTCTGGTTCGATTTTAGCCAGCATCTTGAATTCAAGGATGAGATAAAGGGGTTGGCGAAAAGAGAGACGAGAGAACACGGGAGCAGAGAGAAAAGTTATAGAAAAATGATGATTAATTGTCCTTCGAGTAATGTTGTTTCTTTTGTACGACTGTGTTTGAAATTTGAAATGAAGAAGGATTTAAGCAGCCAAGTGTCAATTATTGATTGGGAAGTAGAAAAGTGATAGGGGGATTTTGTTATTTACTATTTTGTCTAATTTGTAGTGTAAAATATTTTTGAAGGAAGGGCTATTTAGGGAGTTAGGTCAATCTATTAGTAAATGCTTGATAGTAGATTGCATGTGGTAGAAAAAATCAAGTGATTTAATCCAAACTATATTTTCAACTCATTTGTTAATGGCTTTGTGTTCTTTCTTTTTAGTACTAGCATGTCTTCTTTTAATCAACTTAATACTGGATGATATTATTTTTCTTTACTATTCTTCAGGATAATTAGGTTGAAATAGATGAATTTAACATAATGTATTATCGTTTTCTTTATAGATCCATTTTTTGAGCTTTACAATATGTAACTCTAACTCATCCCAATATTACACATTGTGTTCATAAAGATTGTCAATTCATGGTTAATCCTTTTCATAATCATTAGAGTGTGGTCAAATGAACTTTGAGGTATTTGAGTGTGGTAGATTCATGGTTTAAGGATTGGCAGCAAAGTTTTCTAAAACATAGTTCTTAAATGATGTTGAGCAAGATGTCATAACATCTTGACTAATTGTAATGACAGGTTCTACTATCATGTATATCAGACAGATGTTGAGCCAGATGTCTTGACATCCTGGCCTACTGTACAACAGGTGTTGCTGTTATTTTTCCTGGAAGATTTGATTGAAAAATATGATATTATGGATGATTTTATTTTATTTCTCATACAGGCCCATCTAATCAAGGATATTTTAGGAACAGTGCAAATTTGATTTGGTTTCATAAAAAGGATCTTTGAGACTTTTTAGGAAACTTTGAAGATTTGTTCCTATTTTTGTGTGAAGATCTTGCAGCTGATTTAAGAAGTAAAGATTGGATTTGATTGAAGAGTCCAAGCCTATTCTGCAAGAGTCTATAAATAAGGATTTTCTAGACCTAATATAGAAAGCATTCACAACAAACAAAAATTGTGGGTTCATAAGGGTGTAGAGTTTTGAGAGTCTTTTAAGTTCTTTGTGTTTTTGTTCTTTGTATGTCACTCATGTATCTTCTGATACATTAAGGTTGTCTCATTATTCTTAGTTGAAGCTTTTAAGCAAAACTAATTATTGTTCTAAATCATGACCTTTTAAGCAAAGAGTTGAGTATTGTATTTGAGGTGTAATCTTCTATTTGGTTCTTTGGTTTTTGTCACAGGTTTGTGACTGTATTTTATCACTGAGGTGATTCGTTGGAAGTGAGAGGGGGATCTCATATCTAGAGGGTTCTAGGTAGAATTTGCACAAGGTGGTGATTAAGAGATAAGTTGTAAATTAGGGTTGGTTTAGCTTTGAACTAATATTATCATTGTGAATTTCCTTCCTGGGTTGGTAACCCCCAGAGTAGGTGACATTGCACCAAACTGGGTTAACAAATTATTGTGTTGTTTATTTTTTGCAATTTACTTTATGCATAATTTCTTATTTTAGCAAGTATTTTCTGTCAGCAGATGATATCATAACATATGTCTTGACATTGTATTGGTGTTAGGACATCAGTCTTGACATTTGTATTGCAAGTGCCAGAATTTCAATTGGCATTAGAGCAGGCACTCTATTTTGTTTATTAGGTGATCTCCAGGGAGAATAATTTATGGTAGTATGGACAAGGAATGAGGATACAATAACAGACCACCTCCGTTAGATGATTCAAATTATGACTGGTGGAAGGTTAGAGTGGCGGTTTTTCTGAAATCCATGGACAACAAAGCTTAGAAGGTTGTTTTGAAAGATGTCAGAAGAAAAGTTTATTAGAAAGATTCTTAGGTCTTTACCTAGGAAATTTGACATGAAGGTGACAACCATTGAAGAAGTTCATGACATCAGCAGCATGGGGGTCGATGAACTTGTTGGCTCACTTAAAACTTTTGAATTGGCTATTAGTGACAAGTCTCTGAAAAAGAATAAGAGCATAGCTTTTGTATCCAATGCTGAAGATGAAAAAGGTCAAGTTGATTTGGATATTGAGGAAGGATTGTCCAATACCATTGTGTTAGTTGGGAAGCAATTCAATAAAATTCTGAAGAGAATGGATAGAAGAGGAAGACCAGATGTCAATAACATCTCATTTGGCATCAATAATAACCTTAATTCTTAGAAGAAAACAAGAATTTAAGAGAATTCAAATCAGGGAAAAGGCATTCAATGCTATGAGTGCGAAGGTGTGATACGGTGGGAGGATTGACTTGGTTGTTTGCATTTTATCGCAAATATTGCGGTTAGAAAGAGTCGCCACCGACTTTTCTTTTATCCAAAAGGAAAGGTGAAAAAGAACAGGAAAGACCTTTGAGATTGTTTCTTGAGTTCGGGGGGTAGATTAGGAAAAGGAAAGGTATTAGAACCCTTTTCATCCATGGTTTTCCATGGGCTCTTAGTTACTTGCTAGATCACTTGCTTTTGTTTGAAAATATGATTTGTGTGGTTTTTTGAAAGTATTTTGAAAAGGTGCCATCGTTTAGGCAAACTTTGTAATAATTCTCGTTCGTAAGAATGTATACAAAGTGTTGATCTTTTGAAAATGTTTTCAAGTTTGAAAGATGTTTTTAAAAATGTTGGTGTTTGTTTTGAAAATAGCAAGGATGTTTTTGGTTTTGAAATTGAGCAAGCAACTAGGAAAATTCTACCTACTCAAAAGTATTTCATATTCATTTTCTCTTTCCTTTGACATTGTTATCTTACCATTGATTTGGTAAGTAACCCTATCTTTGGATGTAAACGGAACAGACGTGGGTCATCGTATAACCATGATTAGCAATGTTGCAAGGTATCTTAGCAATCTTTATTTAAGGACTAAGATCATTTTGAAAAGGCAACTTTTGATAGCGTCATCGAGGGACTATGATCTTGTATTTTTTACTTGTTTTTGCTAAGATACCTCACATGCATAACATGGCCATTTTTATAAGGCAACCAAGTGGATTTACCCTAGAGGTGTTTGTGTGCAAGTGTATTGATTTTCATGCTTTGTTTAGTCTTTGATTAGGGTTTGCTACTTGTTGATTTTATCTTCTCATAGAAACCCTAATTACTAGCATTTATATAAAGTGATAAATTGCCAAAAGTAAAATTACTATGCTATTACATCATTAGGGGATGGGGGTATACAAATTTACAAATGAGAATTGCAAGAAAATTAAACCTAATTATCTATTACAACCATATTGAATATTGTATAAAATTGAAAATAAAATGCAAGAATATAAATGGAAAAAGAAATGATTTTTGTTGTTTTTTATGAAAGGGGTTTTGTCTTGACCTAAATAAAGGAAATGATTAATTAAACTTAAATAAAATTAACTTAAACTAATTAAGAAAAGAAATTAACTTAAAAATGATTTTTTAGGGTTTTTTATGAAAAAGGTTTTAAATTAATAAAAATAATATGAAAATTAATTAACTAAAATAAACCTAAGTTCTAAATTAATTTTAACTAAAAAATAAAATAAAATATTAATTTATCCTAAGTTTAAGAATTAATTATTTAAGAA